AAATATATGTTTTCTTGAATATATTCAATGGATTTAATAATAAAATGCATAAGTAAAATGAATTTTATGCTTATGTATACATATATACACCAACTTAATATTTTTTAATAATGAACTCTTATCAAGCCTAATATTATCGAATGGGTTTCTTGTTCATGTTCAACTCATTAGCAAACAATCTGAAAAATCTTATTTCAACTCAAATTATTTACTTCAACAACAAAAAACATGAACAATTATCTTGCTTAACATATGTTGTTTATGAATATCCACCCCTACTTACAACAGATAGCTCCTCTTCACAAATCTTGCTAAACTATTCAAATCTAGTCGTCGATGCTTCACTAAAGATATTAATCCATGCATGGCATACATAATGTATTCTTATTTACATAATACCAAGGAGGTTATTTTAAATCTAATCAAATTTAAATTTTGATTTAAAATTATCTAAAATAGTAAATTCAAATAGTTTTCAAACTTGCTTTACAAAACTAAGAAATAACTATTTTTAATCCTAAAAAACTCCCTACTTAAAGTTTTTATACAACAAGGAAAAATGTATGGATTAATCAAACAATGATTTAAGGGATTAGATAGATAGTAGAGCATTTAATTAGAAACGTAATCACACATTTTTAATAATTATATGATCATACATTATAAAAGATCAAAACAAAATATTTAATGCAATGATTCCTTTCCAATATAGATGTTAGCAATTACTTAAAATATGCCATATACAGATAAAAATAATAGACAGTAATCATGTGTTGCATGATTGAATATAGCAAAAAACAATAAGTTCAATTAACATTAAATGTTGCTAATTATTCACTACGACCAAGAAATTAACTAATTAAGAAATCATATTGCAAATAAAGTTAAAAATTGAACAATTAATGATTGTTATAATCAATGTTTAAAATTGCGTATTCGGGTATTGAGGCGTTTTTCGTTAGTGAGGCGAGGCGTAAGTCTCAAGGCGTTTTGAGGCGTAAGCCTCAAAATCAAAAGATTGTGTAAACATAAAATGATAAATTTTTTATATACTAATGAGTGAATAATATAAAACATAAAAAAGCATAAGATATGAAGTGAAATCAAAATATCTCAATAATAAGACAACATGAAATATAGTTCAACTCAAAATTCTATCTTTTCCAAATCCAAGTATTCTTTTCATTAACATATAATTCTAATTTCCAAAAATAAATAGCAATGACATATCACATAAGAACTCATAAGTCATCAGCACTGTCATCACTAAGGGGTTCTTCATTTGAATCATCATTATGGTGAATTGCTCTCTCCCCTTCCTCCTCCCCTATAGAGTCCAATGTCGGGTATTTAATTTAAGATTTATGTAAGTTTTAATATATATAGCGTGAGGCGTAAGTCTCAAGCCAATGAGGCGAGGAGGGCCTCAAGGCGGGCCTTAATCCAGTTGAAGCACAAGCCTCATAAAAAAAACTCGAGGCGTAAGCATCGAGGCGTTTTTTACTGGAATTGCGCAAAGGCGAGCCTCATATTGCGCAATTTTAAACCATGGTTATAATAGCAATTAGTCATATTAACAATACAATAACAAAGTTGCTAAACAAAAATAAAGTTCTATTACCATGATTAAATTATAAGAGAAGGGTTAACAAAAAGGTGATGAGAGAGCTACTAGAAATGAGAAAAAAATAGAAAAGTACCCCAAACAGTACTCCCATTAATTTTAGTGCAAATCGGAAAATGCAAGAAACCAAAAGAGATCTTGCATAAGAATTACATTGACAAGACCATGAACCCAATATCATTTTAGTTTCTGTTAAATTCAGATAATTGGAGAGGAAAAAACTTAATTTTATTAGACAAAAAATATCCCTATTTATAGATCTAAACATGATATCTTAATAAAGAACAAATAATTATAGAATCATGCATAATTGCCTAAATATAATCCTTCCTAAATCACCCACCTGAATGTGGAAGGAGATCGGCATAATCCAGGTGAGCCTCCCACGGATTCTCATCCTGCCCATGGGATCAAGTGTCAAGAGACAGCTGGGATTTAATAGAGATTGGTGTGATCCAGGTGAGCCTCCCACATATTCCCATCCTGACCATGGGATCAAGTGTCAAGGGACAGATGGGATTTAACTGAAATCGACATGATCCAAGTGAGCCCTCCACAAATTCCCATCCTGACCGTGGGATCAAGTGTCAGGGGACGACTTGGATTTTAGCACTTCCCCTCAAGCTAAGAAATACAAATAAGTTATTCCCATCAAGGTAATTAATCCCAGAAAAGTAGAGTAATCAAGTTCCTTGGTGCACCATAAAGTCCTTCATTTGGTAAAATTTTTTGGAGAAATTATCTTCAGACATTACAATGGCAAATGGTAACAATGAAGGCTCTATTAAGCAAGTCAACAATGAAGTTTATATTGGTTATAGATAGGATAACAACCACAAGGGAAGGCCGTCAATGAAGGTTTGGCAGTAGGAAAAATTTTGTTTTTAGGGTTGCGGCAAGCTTCAAGGATAGCAACAAAAAAACATGTTTCAAGCGACTCAATAGTCGGCATGCAATTCTCCTCCATCCAAGGTCGTCTGACTCCACCTGAACAGACACTTGTTCGATCAGCCAGTACATGTGCACGCAAGGCCTCTGATCCCTCTGATCGTAAGAGAGAGTGCAGATCCTGCACTCTTGCTTGTCCCTACCCCCACATGAGAGGGAACTCTCAACTCTTTCCAGACACAAGCAAGAGTTTTCAGTCAACTTTGGACGTCACACGCAAGAGGAGCCCTCCCGCTCTATCTCTTCTCAGACTTGGATGCTCAAAAGAGCAGGACTAATATTCCATAGAATTTCGACAATGAAGGTCGGTGGAAGGACCAGTATTCCTCAAAATTCTGGCAATGAAGTTTGGTGATGGAAATATGTATTCCTTAGAATTCCAGTAATGAAGGCTTGTAGTGGGAACCAATATCTTCAAAATTTTGGTAGTGAAAGCCAATGGTGGGAACCTGTTTTCTTCATAATTCCACCAATAAAGGCTGGCTGTGGGAACTTGTATTCCTCAAAATTTTGGCAATGAAGGCTGGTGGAAGGAGCAATATTCCTCAAAGTTCCGGCAATGAAGGCCAGTGGTGGAAACATGTATTCCTCATAATTCCGACAATGAAGGCCGATGGTGGGAACCTATGGAAGCATGCATGCCGGCAGTATTTGATGTAGATGTGGAGGACACGAGAAATTTCGAGGGCGAGACAAAAACTATTCAGACGCACAGTCTCTCGTCCCGTGTAGTTGCATGGTCTCTCGTCCAGACACAAGCTCTTACTTGGCTCCTCTTGGTTCTTCCCCAGACGCAGCGAGAGGAGGCTACCGCATGCGAAAAGCTTCAAGGACGCATGAGCCCACTTGGTTTGGTCGCACGCCCCCTCGTCCCGTTTGGTTGCACGCACACAAGAGGGATTCACGAGACGCTCGTCTTTCTTGATCGAATGTAAAGACTGCAAAATGATGCAATCTCTCTCCTCTTGGTTGGACATACGCAGGAACGAACAAGCCAGAAACTCGCTCATTTTCATTTATGAAGGGAAGGCCTGGCCTTCCCTCTAGAAAGTTCGGCAGTAAAAAAAAAAAACTTAGAATTCCAGCCAAGGCAATAAAGGCTCTGATCCATGTTAAATTCAGAGGGTTGGAAAGGGAAAAGCTTTAATTTTATTAGACAAAACTATCCCTATTTATAGATCTATATAGGATTTCTCAATAAAGAAACAAATAATTATTGAATCATACATAATTGCCAATATAATCTTCCTAAATCAACCACCCGAATATGGAAGGAGCTCAACCAGTGATGCCTATGTATGGTACAACCATACAAACTTATGTATTTCTTCCAAAATTGCAATTGAGGTAAGTTTACCTGATATGATGCAAACCAAGCATTCATACCCAAGTTGCCTATAGCCTAGTCGTAAATGTTTGAGTTATCCTAAAAAAGTGCCTAGATTATATGATTTTTAGTTGCATAAACCAAACAAGAGGATAAAAAAAAACTCTAGGAGCAAGGAACAAAAATCCTAGCCCAAGGATCCCATGCATTAGACCTTGATGGCATAAGACACATAAGTTCCGTGCAATGGAACATGTGTGGGATTGACAATTTCATTAGGGATCCTACAAGGATCTTTCTTGACAAATGCTATCGGTATTCATGGGATTCATGTCTGCAAGTTTACTAGCATAGGATTCCATGCAAGCAAAAACAAACTCTTAACCCTCAGCATAGTAAGTCATGGAAAAATCCAAAGTGGATGAAAGTGATGAGGTAAAAGGTTAAGAAGATAATAAAGTTAGTATTATAATAATTAATTTAGTTGACTTTCAAATATGGATACTTCAACATCAAATTTAAAAAAGAATTTGTTTCCATTAAAGGGATAAACCATGGGTAGGTTTTCACATATTTCCCTTCGAGAAAAATAGTCGTGCATTTCCGAGCAAGATTGCTAGTAATCAGTGTTCATCATTGACCCGCATCAACTCAAAATAATCACAATATTTTGCGCTTATGTCAGAATCAAGCTAGCAAACATCAATATAATATGAAGATAACTTAGAACAGTAGATCGGGGCCTAGGAAATTAGGAACCACGATAATCACAGCTGCCTTAGTAAAATCACCAGTCACAAACCCACTAACTAAACAGAGTTTCTGTTCATGGAAACATCCAACTATAAGTAATTAACTAAACTCTAGCATTAATCAGGCGCACGATAGGCCCGTGAATCTAGATTAGCTACGCCAGACTGAACGACTATCACCTGGATCATCAAAGATGTAAACGATCCAGAGAAATTTTTTTGACGAAAAATAAAAATAAAAAAACTTAGTTACTGCAGGATCCGTGACCTATCAATGAGATTAAACCAGTATGGAAAGGGATCCAATCGATGTAGATCTGCAAAGCAAAGGAAAGGTGAAATCACGAACCTGCGGCACCGGTTACAAGAACGCTAATTGGATCCTTTGCCATCGGAACTTTGGAGATAATGGCAGGAAATGCTACGAGCGCGCAGAAGAGAGCGAGAGCCCAATTGAATGGAGACGACGCCTCCGCCAAGGGGATAGAAAATTTATTGAGCCGAACAGATTTTTCGGTCGTCCCAAGCCACGGAATAAATTAATTAATAATTATCCAGGAGATTTTTTTTTTCAATACCTGGACAAAAAAAAAAGGAAAATTTTTTTTTTCAATACCTGAACAAAAAAAAACTATGATGCAAAATTTTCGTTGGCCATTCGTTTCTCCAAAAGATCACGTCGTGCACTTAATTAGTCCTAAAACTATACACGTTTTTTAATATAAAATGAATAATATCGTGGATGAATATGGTAAAATGAAGTGAGGTTTATAGATAATTTTAGGGGTGTAAGTGAGATGAACAGATTAGTTAGCTAGTTCGAACTCAGCTTCATAAATGACTCTCGAGTTAAATTTGATGAGCTAACGAGTCAACTTGAGATAGTCTTGACTCAACTCGCAAGCTGGTGAGTCGGATACCTTTAAGTAATTCTTTATTATTTTTCTTATACTTTTTCATGCTCGTAGAATAAAGCTCGTGATTGAGCTCAAGCTCGAACTCTATTAATGAATCAAGCTCAAACTCAAATTAGAAGTGACTCAAGCCCGACTTCAATCATTAACACTCCTAGTGGAGTTAACAGTAATAATGATACAATTTTATGTTCACAATGAAGCAATTTTTTAAGAGAGAACTTTTTACTTAAAATTAGGAGATTTAAAGCGGGCCTGGAGAAACATGTGACCCATTATAGCCTATATTTTTATTTGTATTAAAATAAATTTTTTAATATTTAATTTATGTCACTTCAAAATTTTAGAATTTTAAAATTTTAGATATATATTGAAAAAATTGATGATATTTTTTAAATAATTAATCTCCCTCTCCGTTTAAAAAAATTATGAGTTCACTACTATTAATAAGACTCGTCACTTTATTTGAAATATATGTTAGATAGGAAAACTCTTAGTCACTAGTTTATACGTAGGCATAAGGAAAGATGACCCTCTTGAAGTGCATACACCATTAAGAGCAAGGGACAAGTGCCGAAGCCATTGGTGGAGTAAATCTTCCACCAAATAGCAGACAGTGGATGGATGGATGCATACACCAAATAGCAGACAATGTCACAAGGCTTATCATTCACTCCTCAATCTCTCATTGGCACAGCATATGGACAATGAAATTCCAGCCTAGGACTTAACAAAACTTGTAACCTGGTAAAGTAGTTTGCAAAATAAGGCTGCTAGTTCCAACAAATCAACACAGATGAAACCAAAATGCTTATGGGGGAACAAAAAGGCACACAAATATAAAGGGGAGTTAACTTTAGAATACCAGAATAATAAAATCATAGCTTTCCTTGCAAGTAGTTATATCAGCAAAACTTGCTCCTCTTAGATGGATCTTCCTGCGGGCAGGGCAGGGCAGGGCAGGGCATGCCGATAGGAAAACAAACCACTTCAAACAACATAACCCAGAATATTTCTCCCATCACTTCACAATGCAGATTTTGATGACAGAAGCAATGCCGATGCGATGCAAAGCAACAACAGCATCCCCAGGCTTGCATAGCTTCCTATCCACAGCCGATTTCAGAGCAGCCTCCAGAATCATATCTGTAGACTCCGTTTCAGTAGCCTTGGCCGAGCCCTCCGCCAGCAGTGGAATCAGACCCCTGTAGGTCAAACTATGCCTTGCAGGAGTCTCATCACTGACAGACCAATCAAATGAATCTGTGGTCAGTGTAGGGACCACCACAGATAGGATTGGTACAGCAGGGCGATACTTGGCCACAAGCTTTGCCGTCGTCCCACCACGTGTTAAGACGACGATAAGTGCTGCCTTGGCCTTATTAGCCGTGCGCACGGCAGAGGAAGCAAGACTCTCAAGTGGGGTCATAGGAAGAGGTGCCGAATTTATCATATGCTTGAAGATAGCATCATAGTCGAGAGAAGATTCGGCCTCAATGCAGATCCTGGCCATAATTTTCACTGCCAACTCAGGATAAGCTCCTGCAGCACTCTCCCCGCTGAGCATGACACAGTCGGTGCCATCAAGTACAGCATTAGCAACATCTGTGGCCTCTGCGCGTGTCGGTCTTGGGGACTTGATCATGGATTCAAGCATTTGGGTAGCAGTGACAACAGGCTTGCCTGCAAGATTGCATTTGTATATCATCATCTTCTGGGCAAGGAAGATCTTCTCGACTGGAATCTCCATTCCAAGATCACCTCTAGCAACCATAAAGGAATCCGTCTCCCTAAGGATTTCATCGAAGTTTATCACACCCTCTTGGTTTTCAACCTGATTAAAAAGGATCAATAAATAATTAACAAAAGCAGCCAGCAACCGATTGGATTAAATATATTCCCCTTTGCTATTGTTATTTAGTATGAAATTAGGAGCAATATGAAAGTAACATAACCTGTAAGAAACGCAGTAAATATGTTTCCCATTGTTATGGTTAATTACTATGAAATTAGTAGGGAAAGGGTATAGTTAAGAGTGATAATGTTGAGCACCAGGGTACTATTCTAGCATCTGTTTGTAATAACCAGAAATATTCAGGAAGCATTCCAAAACAACTCTTGGAAGAAGGCGGTTTGGAAGAGGATGGTTAGAAGTTGGGGCCCACAGTCTAGATTTTTCTTTTTTTATACCGTCGATATCTCCTCCTGTGCTTGCGTTTTCACTGGAGAAAAAAAAGGGTGTTGGAGAAGGATTTTCGCAAGCCATTCATCAGTGCTCGTGGAGATGAAGAAAACCGCAAGCAAGCATGGTAATGAAGGGTGATTTAGTGCAGAAATTCTTGAAGATTTCCGTTGCTATCTTTTTCGGCCAGTAGAAGGCTGCAGCACAGAGGATTTAGGGTGGAGTTGGTATAACGTATGCAGCACTATAGCATTTCTCGGCAAAGGAAAGTTTCAGAAGGGTTATTATTAGAGCGCTGCAGATCCATTCGGCTCAATGCATGGATCAATTCAGCATAGTGTTGAAGGAAGATTGCTTGTGGCTTGGTAGGAAAGGAAAACAACAGTAATGGATGTGAGAAGTAAAAGTGCAAATTATTTGAAGAAACGGTAAAGTGAAGAAATAGAGAATTAGAGTGGTATTCTGAGAAGTTAGGATTGAAGAAGGCTAAATCATAAAAGATAGAAAAGGGTGATATCGATTATATAGTCTTATACAAAGAGGAGGCTTTGAAGTGACTTATAATAGAAGAAGAATAAGAAGTGAATGTTTGGAAGAAGCAACCCGTCTAGAAGGTAAGTAATGCAAATTAAAGTTTTAAATGTCATTCTTGTTAATTTCTATATTGTATGTTCGTATTTGCATGAATGCAAGAAAAATATGCATTACATGTAATTTTCTGCTAAAGGATGTTCCTAACCTAGTTCCCATATAGGAAAGACCACTTCTATATTTGAATCAAGAGACTATCAAATAAGAGTTGTTATATTTCATTAAAGATTTTTCTAATTGAAAGTATTTTGGAAAGAATCTTCATTTTTAACTTATAGTATACATTTTCATTTCACAATTAAGTAGAATATAAAGACCTTATTGTTGACCTGTAAACCTAAACAAACAAAAAAGAGAAAAAATATCATTCCAGCTCTGCCCCATCCTGTACGTCGCACGTCCACACGTCGAGGCCACGCCGATGTCGCTTCTTCGCACGACCCTTCCTAGCTGTTCGATTTCGCTCCATCTCCGACATTCCCTTCCTGTCGGATCGGGAGCCAGGGCATTTTGATCAAAAGCAGCAACGGGGATCGCTCGAAGTAAGGGTAACTTTCGCCCTTTCACCCGCTTCTCCGACTGTTTGTGGCCGACCGACTATGCTCCTTTGACGACGTCCCCTTCCTGTCCGGTCGGAAGTCCGACATTTTGATCGAAAGCAACAGCGGGAGCTCCGCTCGTTGTGAAGGAAACTTTCTCCCTTTCGCCTTGCTTCTTCGGCCCCTTTGTGCTGTTCGACTTCGCCCATCCTACGACATTCCCTTCTTGTCGGGCCAAAACCAACAACGGGAGCTCGCTGACCGAGAGGATAACTATCTCCCCCACACGCGCTTCTGCGGCCAACTCCAGTAAACAGAGGGAGAGGGAGGTTGTTATTATTTATTTTTAATTATAAATTAATGACAGTTAATAAAACTTAATTACAATTAATTAATAATTATAATTAATATTAATTAATCATAATTAATCACATGATTAATTAAATACTAACTATAATTAATATAATTAGTTGTATATTAATTTTAATTAATTAAAATTAAATTATAATTAATTCTAGTTAGATAATTATAATTAATTAAAAATAAATTGCTCTCTTACCTCGGTGTTCGTGTCGGGCCGGCAAACTGCACATACGCTTTTCTCTAGCGTGGTGCGAAGGGAACCTGGTGCGGCACCTACGACGAGGTAGGTGAGCGGCCCTTGACTCCAAAATCATGTCCTCGGTGTGTGTGACGAGCCGGTCAACCACCTATACAAACTTTTCTTAGCATAGTAGGAGGGAACCCGGTGCGACACATACGACGAGGAAGGTAAGCCTAGTGCACGCTTTTCTTAGCGTGGCTAGGACAACTCTTAGGTACCCATACGCGGCTTTGTACCTGCGGGGAAACAACTGTTTTCCTTGTAACATATATCGAAGACCCATACAGGCTTTTCTTAGCGTGGTGAGGGATGACGATTTCACGGCCGCGGTGTCCTCGTACGAGGGCACCTACAGTACACGCTTTTCTCTAGCGTGGCGGGAGGCCCAGTTTTCTATAGTTTTTCCCCAAATGGGGGAGACGCCGGGAGGCTACCGAAATTCTGGGTGAACATATGATTGCACTCAGACCTGATTTGGACTCAAATGAACACAAACTAGTGGACTTAGAGCATGAACTATAAGGACTTGTATTTGAACATAACTTAAATGATTAATCAAGACCTGAACCAAATAAAATAAGTTCGAACTTGAACCGAAATTCAAATCAATTTGAATATGTAATTGAACTTGAAAGGACTTTTGAAGACCCTGAACAAGCACTTGAACTCGAACTGTACAACATTAAGTGGGACTTGCAAACTCGATGAACTCAAGTCTAAATGAAACTGAACTTGGAATCAAACGTATACAAAGAACAAAGCTTGAATCATATACGAGGGAACTCAAAATATAAGAACATTTGTACGGTCAATAGTGACTCAAAGTACGCTACAAGACCTCGATGCGTACAAACAAAGAATGTAGCGAACTCTTACAACAGTCTCTACAATATCAGGTGCATCGTACCTGCAAGAACAACAAAAGATTACATAATGCATATGTGTCCCCTATATGCATTATTGAAACCTCCAACACTGGTGACTTTGCCTGTAGATCTAGATGGCAATACTGACATTTGATAGTGGAAGACTCATCCTTGCAAACAAGTACATCAACCACCTGAGATTGGTGAAAGGTGGATATGATTCAGGAATAATGGCTCTTCTACGAACACCTTCAGGATGTCGTAGTGAATACAATGGGTCTCTGAAAAATAAACACAAACCACTTGTGGATAACAACAATGGGTATCGTAAGTACAACGAACCCTTGTGGACACAAGTACAGATATCACCTACAGTAGCGATGATTGAGATGCTGCAAATTATGTCGGGTGTGAAGACAACACGAAAAAAGGTCTACTACACTAAAGATCATGAAAGGAGTTCTTTTCAAAGTAGCGGTCACGAATTTCAAGAAAGACCTCCCGACGAATGAGAAAAGGGAGTCTGTATCAAAATAATGAAATATCTCGTGAGATTCAGGTGACAATGCTACGATTCACCTATATCCAAAAGCAGGAGTTTCGTTAGTTCACTACAATCCACTTGCAGAGAGCACAAATAGTGCACGATAGTCTACCAGTATAAAGCAGCAAATAACTCAATTCAAAAGCTGTTACGCCACGCCACCGGATCTGCAACATCCATGCAAGCGGACAAAAGACGTTTATAAATATTTCAAAATACCCCCGTACATGCACCGTAATATGTATGCATATAGGTACACAAAAAGGGGGCAAATCCAATCACAACACCTGCATGGGCCCCGGCAAGCGTGTTATGGGTATACACGTGACAGCTAGGATGTTATACGAGTCAACAAATGAATTCAAGTTTGATCCTGATCCTTCTATGAGGATCAATAGGAGTCGACAAGGTTCGAACCATCAAACAAATATACGGTTTTGGCGACCGATATATTTGTCCTATATATATTCATATTAGACCTTCAAGACCTCTAACAATGAGAATTCACTTACAAAGACATAAAGCTTATAGAACCAGATCCTCCTAAGTAGGTAAATAGGAGTCGACAGGATTCAAATCATCAGACAAATATGTGATTTTGGGGATTAGTATATTTGTTTTAATATATTCATATTAGGCTTTCAAGGCCTCCAACAAAGAAAATCCATCAACAAAAACACAAAGCCTATGAACCCAATCCTCTGTCGACCAGTAGACAGAGTCGACAATGTTCAATCCACAAATAAAAATGACCACAAACACCCCAATGATGTTCGTGCTGAATGTGAATCTCAACCCGAGGGGTTAATCTCAAATATTTCAAAATGCCCTCAAACTCCACAAAATTCAGATATCTTCAAGTGACTTTAATGTCACCCTGATGATAGCCGTGTTGAATGCAAATCTCAACCGGAGGGGTTCGCAAAAACTTTCAAATGCCTCCCAAATGCTCAGACACCCACAAATCCAAAAACTCCAAAATTCCAAAGATCATGCAAATTCCAAATATTTAAAATTGAAATCCAACCATAAAGCACTTAAAACAAAATCTATTCACCCTCCGGAACAGTTTGTTGAGGTGGACAAATAAAATTTACTTAAGCTCACATAGAGCCAAATGCCTAGTCGAAAATATCACTAGGATCTATTCTCAAACAAACTTCTGCCAATAAGGACGTGGTACGTGTCCTCTAACTGATGATTTTGCCGCCAAATGGCACCGCAGGATAAACGGTTACGACCTCGGGCCCTCTGAACCGAGTGATTTTGCCGCCAAATAGCACCACGAAATACCAGTTATGGCCAGAGCCAATACGCTCCTTAGTGGAATCAAATTCTTGAGATATGAATCAATAGGATATGATCGATAGGGCACAAAGCACTCTGTTAGCTAAGGTGGATTCAAATTTGTCCCCTTAGACAAACATTCACCCCAAATCTACAAAGTCCTCTTGGACGAAGCAACCCATGGCTGCCGACAATGATCCTTCTGTCAGGTTGGGTCGACAACCGCCTTTGATCAAGTAGACCAGGGACCACGATGGTCCGAGACGACGGAACTATAGAATTTTGATCGGGTCCATCATCCATTCCCCCACCATCTACTTTAAGTGCAAGATGGTGAAAATTTCTATTTTAAATATCAAACTTAGAACTTTCAACATCCAAACCCTTCAAATTCCAAATTTCTAAGCCCATGTTGCAACTATACACCCAGTACTACGTATTTATAAATACAACGTATCTTATTGACGACTAGCCTTAATCAAATCTCTCGTGACCGAGAGGGGTAATTAACTATAGAGGCTTGTACCTATACGAAACTATAACTCAGATCATAAAATCCTCGCAAAATGAGGGCGAAATCTCTATGTAGTGACTTATCTACAAACTCATCTGCCTTCCAAAATTTACCCCGGAACTAAATTCGTTAAAACTCCCCCCGAAAAGAAAAAGCATAAGCGGGCGGAGGCCGGGGCCGAATTTTCGAAGCCCACACTTACGAAAGCAACAATACGAGTATGAATTATGTTATATGTGTATTGAATATCAATTTAACATAAAGTTTAGCTATATATATGATGTATGATTTATAATGATAGTTGGGACAAAAGAGACCCCTAAAGAGGCAAAAGGACTTCTATAGAATTCAATGTCGATAATGAGTAAAATTGATATTCAATATGGATCTAAGAGAATAATTAAAAGTAATGTCAATTGAGATGTTTTATTGTTTCTCTAGTAGTTTAAAATTGTTATTCATGTTTTAATGTTCTTAAATTGTTTACAAGAAAGTTTAATACTAATTATAACTGCATAACTTATTGAACCTTATAGCTCACTAGTATTTTCATTACTGGTTGTTGTTACAGGAAAAAGGGAAAGAAAAAATGGTTGCTGACTAGGTTCAAGTATATCTATCCTAGATGTTAATTGTATTTCTGTTTGTAAAACTAAACTAGAGGTATGTGAACATTCTCATGAAGTGTTTGTTTGGATTTTTCCTTAGTGGCTCTGTAATCATATTATATGAATGTTTAAAACTTTTAAATGCTTTCGTTGTTGTACCAGTTGAGGTTTATGATATATTTTTATGTAAACATTCAAATAATGAATTATTTCACTCTACAGTACTGTTCATGGGTATTGTGGGTTGTTACAAAAAGGGACTCCTAAAGAGGCAAAATGGACCTCTATAGAATTCAATGACGATAATGTCAGGTTTTCCTTAGCTCCATTGAATTTATGTATGAAAGAATAGTCAAATCTTTTAATGAATAACATTGATATTCAATATGGATCTAAGAGAACAATTAAGAGTAATGCCAATTGAGATGTTTTGTTGTTTCTCTAGTAGTTTAAAATTGTTATTCATGTTTTAATGTTATTAAATTATTTACATGCAAGTTTAATACTAATTATAACTGCATAACTTACTGAGCCTTATAGCTTACCAGTATTTTTATTACTGGATATTGTTACGGGAAAAGGGAAAGAAAAAGTGATTGCTAACTAGGTTCAAGTATTTTTATCCTAGATGTTAATTGTATTTATGTTTGTAAAACTAAACTAGAGGTATGTGAACATTCTCATGAAGTGTTTGCTTGAATTCTTCCTTAGTGGCTCTATAATCGTATTATATGGATGTTTAAAACTTGTAAATGCTTTCGTTGTTGTACCAGTTGAGGTTTATGATATATTTTTATGTAAACATATAAATGATGAATTGTTTCACTCTACAGTACTGTTCATGGGTAATGTGAGTTGTTACACTATTCTTGCTCTAACACAGTGAACTTGCTTTGATATGCTATAACTATGACCTCTTGCACGCTCTCATTCCTCATGCACCCAAGCAAAAGATAATCAGTTATCATCCATCCAGATTACATTTGTTACTAATCGTACCATACCTTCCAGTGCTCCTATCATCTCCAAAACAACCTGAACATATCTCATACTAACAGCAGAAAATTGACCCAATGACAACATAAATCTAAGTACCAAAGGTTATGAATTATTTCCAAAAGACAAAATTACCATTTTCCTATCCTAAAAACTAGATGGAAACTGCATTTCTTTGAAGCACTTCTCCTTCTCATCCCCACATACAGAATTTTACAGACCCTTTATATCATCCTGCGTGAGAGAACATATTGCCCCATAAATGTAAAATTTTAACTAGAACCTTTTCCAATTACTCTCGAGGCCGCATCCCCATAATGAAACTTTGGACCCATGACCGATGATGGTGAAGATGATATTAGGGGTGTCAAAAAATAACCCGACCTATCAATTTGACCTGAATCTAACCCAAAAAATCTGAGTTCGAGTTGATCTGTTTAATAAGTGGGTCAGGTTCAAGTCTGGAATTCTTAACCGTTTATTAAATGGGTAGGGTTTGAGTTGTCCCGCCATCTCGATTTTGACCCATTTAAATTTTTTTCTTAAATTTTTTATTTGCTAATATGATTGTCTTATTTTTTATTAATTAATCTAAAATCTATTGTTCAAATTTTATAAAAAAAAATTATAAATAAAAATGGGTTATCAGGTCAGGTTCGGATCATTTGGTTGCTGGCGGTTGGGGTTTGGGGCCGCATTTTTACCCATTTATTAAACGGGTTGATTCAGGTTGACTAGATTCGGGTCGGACCCGAACAAATTCGACCTATTGGCCTATTTGGACACCTCTAATGACATATTTCAAATAAGTAAACAAGAAGAGAATAGTAAAATAAGAAATAAAAGTAAATAAATCATATAAAAATATATCAATTGATAGAAATGAGTAGCTTAGACATCAATTTTATTTGCTTAGCATTTTTACCCGTTTATTAAACGGGTTGGTTCAAGTTGACCAGATTCGTGTCGGACCCGAACAAATTCGACCTGTTGACCTATTTGGACACCTCTAATGGCATATTTCAAATAAGTAAACAAGAAGAGAATAATAAAATAAGAAATAAAAGTAAATAAATCATATAAAAATATATCAATTGATAGAAATGAGTACCTTAGACATCAATTTTATTTGCTTAGCATGTGATCCAAGAACCTGTCGAACCGTAACAAGATCAGAACCCTTACGAACAAAGGACAAAGCAATCATGTCAATTTTGTTGGGAACACCCCAGTCCAAAATATCTTCCTTGTCTTTATCAGTTAGCGTAGGAAGATCCACTACTATTCCTGGCAGATTCACATTTTTTCTCTCACCTAACATTGCAGTGTTCTCACAACGACACCTGACCGCTCCTGCAGAAGGGTCACAAGATAGGACAGTCAAGGTTATCGTGCCATCAGCACACAATATAGTATTTCCAGGCTTCAAATCTACAGGAAGCTTCTTATAACTCATAGAAATTGTATTCTCATCTCCCTTGATGCTGTAATCAGTAGTCACAGAGATCTCTTGACCCTCTGTCAATTTGATAGGCTTTCCGTCTTTCAAGAAACCAGTACGAATCTCAGGCCCCTTCAAGATAAAAAAAGTGTAATTAGAATTGACCCCAAAAGGCAGAAAATTTGAGGAACAGGGATTTCGTAGTCGGTAAAATGATCAGCTTCATGTAATCATACACGATATATAATATAAAAACAAACATAGCGGGCCAAAAAAATGTGCATGAAGCTAAAATCACTAAAACAAATTCCAATAGACATCTTCCATTGTTTGGATGAGTTTCTAACGGTTAAATTGTACCATTATACCATACGTAAAAACTGTATAAAAAAAAATTATTTTAAAAAAACAAGGCTTGCCGTACACAATATATAATATAAAAACAAACTTAGCGGGACAAAAAAATGTGAATGAAGCTAAGATAACTAAAACAAATTGCAATAGACATCTTCCATTGTTTGGATGAGTTTCTAATGGTTAAATTGTACCATTATACCATATGTAAAAACTGTATAAACAAAAGTATTTTAAAAAATAAGGCTTGCCGCGAGATTCCCGTTAATTTAATTAAAACTACAGTTTTGTTAAGAGCTTTCGAAAGTATGACTCGACCTTCCGCAAAGAAAAAACATTTACATGGAAAAGCAGTAAGGTTCATTATTTTTTCCAAGACATCTACCAACGACAATATTAAATATCCGATTTTCTTGAATGAACCATCACAGGTTATTATGTCCATTCAAGGAAATGGAATAAATCTAACACAAGTGCACAATTTAGATCACTATAATGAAGCACGAAGCGCTGCAACACTAACGCTGTGGGATAACATGTGATATATAATATAGTTAACATTCAAACATACTAAAAAAAAATTACACGGAATAGAAGGTGATGTCTATCTTAGGGTCTAGAGTTTCCTGACACAAATCAGGTATTGGTGCATATAAACATACACAAAAAAATCATAATTCATAGCCCACCAACTCTTATGCAAAAACTCTATTTTAATGCAAGTAAAAAAAAACTATTAAAATCATGCGAAAAAATAATTTAAAGATCGTACAAATTCGAAATTTTACAACAAAATCTAAGATCAATATAAAATCATGCAACGAATAAATTAGAACATATCTAAATTAAAACAACAAGCATTTATCTTACTATATGGGATCGCCTACAAGAATCTTTTATCTCCATTGTATCATATTAAGAGTCAAATTATCATTTAAAAAAAAAGAGTCAAATTATCATTTAAATCTAATAAAAAAGTCATTTTTAATACTTTCTAACCAAATTTTTTAGGCATAACTCTACTTTCTTAACATAGGCTGGATCTACTACATCTGCTCTCCTAACAGGGTCATAGGAAGGCCGACGTTATATGTGAACAAACCATCAAGGCGGCTCTCTAATATTATCTGCCATGGAGTTACTCCAACGTCCGTCACTTCAAAAACTATAATATTGTGTCCAACTCAAGTCCTATATTTTAATATTTGACGTGTCACATGTCCGAGTTGTGTCGTATCCATGCCGCCGTGTTCATGACTGTGCTTCATAGGATAAAACTGCATCGATAAAGACTGTTAAAATTATATCAATTCAATAAAATCATATAGGAGTGTATATATATTATCCAATTATTAAAAAAATAATAAAAAAATTAAAAAAAAATATTATCCAATTATTCTACATCATTATCAAATCAATATATTACATACCATGGTTTAAAATTGCGCAATTAGAGGCGCGCCAAGTTTAAGAGAAATTAGGGTTTAGTTTTTTTTATTTTTTTTTAGTGTATTTGATTTTTTGCTTTAGGAGACATGGTTAGAGGTAAAGAAAAGACGAATACGTCATTGCGGAGGGACCCTTCTTGGAAGTATAGTGTACAAGTTGACATTGGCGGCGGCGAGAAGAGCTATGTATATTTAAAGTGCAACTTTTGTGAGAAAGTTGTGAAGGGCGGAGTAACCCGCATGAAGGAGCACTTATCATGCTCTCACAAGAACGTAGCACCTTGTGCAAAAGTGCCGGACAATGTGAAGGAAGAAATATGTGCTTACATGAAGAAAACTACCACTGTCAAACACTTACAACAGCAGCAATTTGATGAAAGGGTCGACCAAGGTGCCTATTTTGGGAGCGAGAGTGGAAAGGGCTCCTCCTCCACTATACATAATAGAGGTGCACGGGGTCCTATGGATCAGTACATGACTACTGAAGGAGCAGATAGAGGAGAAGCAGATATGATGCCTGCAGGTGGTACTAGAGAGGGTCGGCGACAGGTTTGCATGGACATTGGGAGGTTTTTTTTTGAAAATGCAATACCATTTAATGTTGCTACATCGCCTGCCTACTTCAGTATGATGCGGTCTGTAGGATTGTATGGAAGAGGGTTGAAAGCACCTTCTATGTATGAGTTGCGCACTTGGATTTTAAAAGAGGAGTTGCAGAACACCGAGCGAAGCATTGGTGAGATTAAAAGGACATGGATTGAGACAGGTGTGACTATAATGTCAGATGGATGGTCTGACATGAAGAGTAGGAGTTTGATAAACATCCTTGTCAACAATCCCTATGGTACAGTGTTCTTAAGATCTGTTGAAGCTTCTGATGAGGTGAAGAATGCTACATTTATTTTTAATTTACTTGATGGAGTTATTGAGGAGATTGGAGAGCAGTTGGTTGTCCAGGTAGTGACTGATAATGCAAGTGTATACAAAGCAGCTGGTCAGATGTTGATGGAGAAGAGGACACACCTCTATTGGACACCTTGCGCAGCACATTGTATTGATCTCATATTGGAGGATCTTGGTGACTTACCTCAGCACAAGAGTGCTCTTGTTAGGGCGAAGAAGATTACAAAATTCATCTACAATCACTCTTGGGTATTAAGCTTAATGAGAAAATTTTCAAAGAAAGAAATCATTCGACCTGCAACCACTAGGTATGTTCATATTTTTTACATTGTAATTCATTCCAACTGTATGTTTTGTGATTTTGTACTTTGGGACATAATTTTATTGCATCTACTTTCTTATTTTCCATTATTGCTATTATTTTCCTGCTAAAATCCTTAATTTTTCATTTACGCAATTCTGTGTTCGTGAGGCTTACGCCTCAGACCGCCGCCTCGAGGCGCAGTTACGCAATTTTAAACCTTGTTACATACTTAATATGTCACATGCTTAATATCAATACGATGAATAAATAGTACGAAATAGTATCGTTGTCTATATTAGTAGCAGTAACAATCTAGTGGCATGAGTAAGAAAATAATGCAATAATAATAAAGATGTGAAATAATAATAAATCTATAAAGTAATAGGAACAGTGCCTCAATAACATGCATTTCAATAGTAAAACTAAACAAATAAGAAGTTCTGACTATCATAGTGTTTTTCAGTAATCAGTAGGTAACCATTGGCTTAATAAATATAATCATCACTTTTTGCCCTTTGACATAGTAATACCTTCTTATAACTCCCAATCAATATCACGTAAATCAATAGAGGAAAACACCCAACCATAATATATAAAAGAAAGTCAGTCGACTCGCCATCATGTATAAGTCAATCAATCTCCAATCAACTAATTGTTACTTGTCTTTCACACACACAGTATCATCACAATACTATAATAGTAATATCGTCCAGCTATTATTCAATCACATATTCACCTTCATTTACAATGCTTGCAGCAAATAAAATATTATTAAAGTTTAATTCAAAAAGTACCAAAATATCCAAACAATTTGTAACAGAAAATCCTACTAAGCAAAAAATCATATTTTCAGAAATTAACCAAATTACCAAAGATCGTATAAAATAATATTTTGAATCTTCAATTGAACTAAAATCCTATTTTTAGATGCCATAATAAATTTCTGATTTGGACAAAATCATTGCGTGTTCAAAATCATCCGACGAAAAATTTCAAATAAATATTTAAAATATTTATAATCTCAATCTCTATAACATATAAAAAGTTACACGGTGAAAGTTTTACCAATACAAAATTATACTCATTTTTTCGGTAACGGAAACACAAATTTTATCGAAAAAAATAACAAAAATATAAAATTATTGAAATAAAAATATTATAAAGGTTTCTTAAAGCAATAGGAGTAAATCTCCCAACAAGATCGAATGATGAAAATCGCTCTACAATCTCCAAATCTAGCTTTCCTTTGTCTCCATCCTCACTTTTCTTGTATTTTTTTCCTTTTCATTTCTCTATTTTAGATCCAGACGAATGAATAGGAGTTTTAAAGAATTTTAATGAATTAAGATAGTGGAATTAGATTTTTATAATAAAAGATATAATTGATCTAATATTAGAGGGATAGATTGGCACTCCCACGAACCCTAGACGCCGCTAGGAAATCTCAAAGAAAATAACTACAGCAGAAAAATGATTGCCTCTCCCTGAAAATAATACATAGTTAGCCTTAAATAGGCTCTGATACTTCCCTCTTAAATCAGTCTCCTTTCCTTAATTAATTCCCTCTCAATTATAAACTCTTTCCCCAAATAATTCCCTCCTAATTATCATTCAAACCTTTCTAAATCTCTCCCTTTATTTCTCTTTCTAATATATTGAATTAAATCCTTCTTGGGCCCAACAAGGGGGGGCAAAACCCCTCTCACTAAACCCACCCAGCTCTCCTACTGTTTCCGGTTCAGAGGAACCGGGTGGAGTCCTTTGCCCTTTCTGAGCGTATAATACTCGCCCCCCCAAAGACGCACCTTGTCCTTAAGGTGTAGGGATGTCAACTGTCTTCTGATCAACTCGTATGGCTCGCATATAGCATCGTGCTCCGGCAAATCCTTCTACTTGATTAATACTTCATGTGTAGGGATGTCAAAATCGGGTCACGAGTCAGATTCGGGTCCAACCTGGAACTGACCCAACACAATTTGACCGGAATAGGACCCATTTTTTTGCAAACGGGTCACTTTTTTGGACCCGAACCTAATTCGCTTCGGATCTGGGTCAACCTGACACAACCCTCCAACTCGAGTCAGCGACGGTGCTATATGCCGATCGCGAAAGAGGGCAAGGCG